AATTGTATGTGCCTCTTCCATACCAGACAACTGGTATCACTGCTTCACTGTAGTATGATTACTGCTATGGTCACTTTCATAGAAGATGGTTGGAAGGTCAGGATTCACAGGAAACGACCAAAAAAAAAAAAAAAAAAACCTTCATTTGGCCAAATCTGGCTCCTAATATATTTAACCAGTTCCAGAATTAGAAAGCCTTTCTGTACATTTTCTCCTATTTTTCCAGCTTTTTTTTCCTTACGTAATGAAATTAAAACTTTTGGAGCCCACAGTTGACATTTTTCAGAAAATTGAGTTATCAAGGCAGTAATTATTTCACGGGGAGATAAAACTCTCATAGCCCTAACTGTCAAATAGGGCCCTTTTCAGATTTTAATTACAAAATAAAATTAGTCTGCTCTTCCTCGGAATGGTTTGTGAGTGGTTAAACAGAGCTTTCCCCCAATACTGGTGGTCGTCAAACTCGGCTAATTAGCAATGCTGAGAAATTCCAGTTAACAAGGACATTCTCCAAGACTCTGCAGGTTCCCTGCCGTTTGCCTTCATTTCCATAAGAAGATTAAGAGAGGAGGGGAACACACTCAAATGCAGATGCAGAAAAGAAGCGTTTTTTAACAAGCATCATAATAGTAAGATGCTTGGCTAGTTCTCACCTAATTACTGCAAGTTAAACCTCTATTTGCCACTAAGAAGAAAAAATAAGTCTACAGTCCCCTATCTCCACAAAATTGTTAGTTGGCTTCAGATATAACACTTGAGGATGTAGAGGGAGAGGTTAGGAGAGAAAAATCAATGTAAAAGATTCTCCAGTAAAATTGAGACACACTTAGCAGTTAAGGCTTTTTGGCTAAGACCGGGAGTAGAACAGAATCAAATCAGAATATTCCAAGAATTCTGCATTTGTGTTCCTAATTAACAATATTGCCCTAGAAGTATGTAGCTTTTCGCTGCCCATGGAAGGAAAGTGTTACATTGTCTTTAGATTAAGCACTTTCAATTTTCATATCCTGCCAATGCAATATTTTAAGTTATCTGAGGTTGAAGTACCCTGTTCCAAGTCTTTCTGGGATTGTCTAGTAGTCAATGGTGTATTATTGTCAGTACTGTTAGCTGACCTCTTATAAACCTAAAACAGGGTTACTTCTGTTATCTATTGGGATTGTTAGAGTTATTAGTAAATTTAGGGGCAGTGATGGTGCTAGATTGAAATCGAATGTCCGGTGATCTGATTTTTTTGAATGCATATGTCTTAGAAAAAAATTCTAAAGAGAAAATTGTTTCTGCTATCACCATCTTCTTTAATCTTATTTTCATAGCACATTATTGTGCATAAATGCCAGCCACAGTTAGTTTATTGCCTCGATAAGTACAACAAGCTTAATTAAAATAAAGCTGTAAATAAATGCAACCAATGATAATACAATTGTAATGTATTTCCACAGCTTATTTAATGATAAAAGCAATTAACAAAAACTTAGACAGCCCCTTTAACCTTTTAAATGCATTATTATAGAGTTCAGACACAAGCACATACATCTCAGAACATGTAAATGCTTTTATATATCATCCCAAGAAAAAATTTTGTGCCTTTTACTATTGCCCCTTGAGAGAAAGAGAGATTTAAAATATTTGCTTTCATAACCATTTGTTATTAATATTTATTTTAATAAATATACACCACCATTATTCACACCAACCTCATAGGGATTTTTCCTTCAAACTTAATTATCCATAAGCTTTTTTAAAGTTTTCTGAATAATGCTATTAAGCGCAGACCAGTACATACACAATCATAAAGTGGAGCTTGGTATGCCCTTCGTGGCGCCTGGACAATCATAATTCATTCATATGTTGAATCTCATAATTTGTACCTATTTTTTTCAGTGGTTTAACCTCCCACTTATCTTGAGGTTGTATGTACATTTCTAAGTTAAGCAAATTAAATTTGATTCTTATGATTTGGAGCCACAGTTTATATGATATGTTAACTTTTCTTTTGTTTAGATTATGTGTAATTAGTTTGATCTTCCATCCCCCTCATTTTTTTTTTCTTTAATTATTTCCAAACACCTTCTTTTAAAGGTAAAAGTGATAGTCTCGGGAAAGCGAACATACCAGCAGGGGGCGCACCAGCCACATCCCTGAAACCAACTGCGCTGAAAAGTCGGTGGCTGTCTTCAGATTCTCTGTCAACCTTTTTTCTTTTCTAATCTCCAAAGATCCGTGTTTAGCTTAATATTACACCTCGACTAAATCGAAAACATTGCTTTATTTTGAAGACTAGAGAATACTGACGCATTTTGAGAACACCAGTCTCACCCTTTCTGGACTCCCAAGAACTAAAAAAAAATCTTAAAAACTTAAGGAGAAAAAAGGAGAGCCTAGGGTGGGGGGTGGGGAAGAAGGAAGGTTGGTTGGAAATAATTTAAGAAAAGTCTGCAAAATTCTTTTTCACAACTTTTCTGAGTCTCCAGTGGGTATACTTAGCTTGAATTTGACAGTAATAAATAACCCTGGGAGGGCAAGAATTGGAGAAGTTGAGGGTAATTATGGGAAGAAGGTTAGTAAGGAACAAAACAATGCACAGTTTGTAAAGATAATAAATGGAACGTGGCTGGTATATACTATTCACTACATTTTCTTTGGGTGAGTAAGGGTAGATCAGGGGAGGAGGGGGCGGAGAGAGTGTAAGAGAAGAAAGAAAATAAGTAACCCCGATGGTTTAAGCTCTTTATAAAAAAGAAATGGCATCAGGTTTTTTTTTTCCTCCCCCCCCCCCTTTGTAGTCAAGTGCATTTTAGCCACAAAGATCCCAACAAGAGAGTGGAAGGAAACTTAGACGGGGCTTTGTTTGACTCCGTGTAGCGACAACAAGAGAAACAAAACTACCTATTTGTAACGGACGTGGTGCCATTGCTCTCCGCTTTGAGCGCCTACCTATTGAAATCTTTACGTCGGGACAATGGGAGAGCGGCTAAAATTACCCTCTTGGGTCCTGGGCGGGCAAGATTCCTGAGCCTCTACCCCCGCCCCCATCCCATCCTCCTCCAGCTTGAGCCTAGCTGGGCTCGCAGCTTCCTCAGTCTGGGCCTCCTTCCCCTGCGTGTGCTGCCAGCACCTGTGCCTGCTGAGCACCGTCCCCGCCTCCCAGGCCTGGAGCCCCTTGGTGGCGCAGCCCCTGACCCTAGCGGCCAGCTCTTTGCTGCCAACACCGTAGAAGTCAGCCGGGGAAATGCCAGGGCTGGTTCTGCTGGAGTCCTGGGAACTCTGCGTGGGAGGGAGTTTGTGAGTGCGGCCCAAAAGCCACCTCTGTACAATGCCGTGGGATGCCAGGAAGTTGAAATGACCTTCCCCCACTGCCTGCACTTTTGAACGTCCTTCTCTGTCTTCCCCCAGCCCTCATTTGTAAGCAGCATCCCCCAAAATCCTCATTTGGGAGAGACTTTAGAAAAGTAGGGAGAAGGGAAGAGTACCTTCATCGACTTTGCACGAAGTGAACGGTGACAGACTGATGGGAGATGTGGCTGGGAGTGACAGAACAGGTTGTAGTTTCCTGGGCCAAAGAGCTGGACTAGGCCGGGAAACAACTGCTTACGAAGGTTGCCCTGCCTGCCCTTAAATCCGAGTCGAGTACGTGGTCAGAGCGAGCAAGATTCATTTTTAAGAACAGAACAAGTTATGTGGCAGCAAGAAGGGTTTTGAGGACAGAGGTTTTGATCTCCTAACTTCTTGTCGGGACAGTGTAAGAAGTGGGTGATTGGGTGCTGGCACCAGCAAAGGAAGAGGGACCAGGGAAGAGCCTGGTTAGTGAGAAGCCTTAGGGGGCTGGAGTCAGGAGCAGTGCTGTGGGATGAGCGGCAGAACCAGGACACACCAACTCCTGCAAGGCCTGTTTCCTGGAATACTAGTTGAACAGTCGCCCTGAGCCACCCACTCTGCCCTGCCCCACCCCCACACCTAGCTGCTTCCCGTGCCCCTTCCTCATTTCAGTATCTTGCACTAAAAAGTAAATCAATATTAAGTTTGAAGAGGAGGGGGAAAAAAAAAACCCACATAGTCTTAGTGCTGTTTACCCACTTCCTTCGAAAAGGCGTGTGGTGTGACCTGTTGCTGCGAGAGGGGATACAAAGGTTTCTCAGTGGCTGGCAGGCTGGCTGTGGG